CCCGAGATTGTAATGTGTGCCATAGGGATTATTCCCTTGGTTGACAAATGCAGCATTAACTTGTTCATGATGCTCATTTTGCACATGTCCATGTGGATAATTGGAAGTAGAATGTAAGATACTAGAACAAGTCATGCATGTTTTATTAGATGGATGATGAACATGATTAGGGGAGGAAGACACTTGGTTCACCGAATTGTGTCGAGCAAAAATAGATCAAACCTTTGAGTTAAGGATTTCACCTTGGCGGCTATGTCATTGGAATTGTCAACTTGATATAAGCCGACATTCTTCCTTCCACCTAGAATTCTACCATTTTTAGAGGATAAAGATCGATGCATGGAATTTTCACTCATACTTTCATACAATTTCCAAACATCATTTTCATGTTTATCAAGATAAAAACCACCCATAGATGCATCTACCATTCCTTTTTGATTATCCGGCACACTTTCAAAGAAGTATTGGACTAATTGCCACTTAGAAATGTCAAGATGTGGACACTTTCTAAGCAAATCATTAAATTTTTCCAATGCCTCATGAAACAATTCCCCATCCCCTTGAGAAAATTCATGAATGGAAGTTCTCATAGCATTGGTCTTTGATACCGGGTAGTACTTCTTCAAGAACTCTTGTTGCATTTCTGCCTAAGAAGTTATCAAAAAAGGCCTAAGATTGTTGAACCAATATTTTGCTTTGTCTTTAAGGGTAAAAGGAAAAAGTTTGAGTCTTAATACCTCTTCCAGCATGTCCGTGTATTTCACGGTGGAGCATACTTCAAGAAACTCATCCAAATGCTTGTACAGTTCTTCACTTAGAAGTTCATGATAGTTAGGAAGCATTTAAATAGTTTGCGGTTTAATCTCATAGTGATGTGCTCTAAATAGGGGCAATTGAATACATATTGGTGCATTGTATTCATTTGGAACATAATGATCACGCAAAGCAATGGGAGGATTCCTAACTGGTGGTGCTAAACGAACACCGTGATTAACTTGAACCATGGGAGGTTGTGGAGCAAAAATTGGCTGAGGCATTCCCAATGGAATTTTGCCTTGTTGTTGCGGTGGAATGAATGGTCTAGGCATGCCTAATAGTACTTGAATGTTGTTATGATGCACATTAGGGTGAAGGATGCCTTGTTGGTCTATGTGACCAAGGTCCTCCACATAGTCGTCATTTTGCTCGTCCATTGATGAAATGGAGTGATGAGAACTACCTCTTCCCCTAGGATTACGAACAACCAATTCAAGATAGAAATCAAGTGGGACAATGGTGTGATTTAATGACCTACGACCATGCATGCACTAACAAAACAAATAACAAATAATTAATCAATTAGCAATCACTTCGCCCCCACAACAAATCAATCAACAAACATCATCCACATACATTGATCCCATACTCCCATGCTTTGAACAATATGCTAACACTACACCATATTGGGGTTTTACCAGTGCTTCTATAAAGAGTGCTGGTATAGGTGTACTATTACAAGCGCTCTTTATAGAAGCGCTGGTATATGGACTTTAGTTGCAGCGGTACCAGCGCTCTTTGTAGGAGCGCTGGTATAGGGTTTTAATTACCAGCGCTCGTTTTAGGAGCGCTGGTATAAGGTGTGTAGTACCAGCGCTCTTTGTAAGAGCGCTGGTATATGATTTTTATTACCAGCGCTTATTTTAGGAGCGCTGGTATATGGTAGCCCCATCCCACTTTTTCCCTTCCCTCCTTTTTTTTTTTTTTTTTTTACCTTACCTCCCTTTTTTCCCTCCGTTGATTTGGGCCTAAACTACGCCGTTTTTGGGGGCAATTGGTGTGTAGTACCAGCGCTCTTTGTAGGAGCGCTGGTATAGGGTGCGTAGTACCAGTGCTCTTTGAAGGAACGCTGGTATATGGTTTTAATTACCAGTGCTCGTTTTAGGAGCGTTGGTATATGGTACCCCCCCCCCCCCACCCCACTTTTTCCTTCCCTCATTTTTTTACCTTCCCTCCCTTTTTTCCCTCCGTTGATTTGGGCCCTAAACTACGCCATTTTTGGGGGCAATTAACACAGAATTCCACTTTCCCCATTTCATTCCTAACACCTTCAGCCGCTCTCTCTCCTTCCATCACAGCTCTGTCGCCCTTCCATCACCGATCATCACGTCTCTCTCCTTCCATCACAGCTCTCTCGCCCTTCTATCACCTATCATCACGTCTATCGCCCTTCCATCATTGGTCTCGCCCTTCCCTTCCATCACCGATCATCACGTCTCTCTCCCATCACAGCGTTCCAAAACTGGTGGCTTGGTTTAGAGAGACAAAGTCATTGCTACTGCACACAAAGAGAGAGAAAGAGTCGTCGTTAGGGGTTTCCAAAACCTCGTCTACACTAACAGATCGGACGAGAATTTTTTTAGGTTAGTAACTGTTCACCTTCTGATTTTGATTACCTGTGTATATATATATTTTTTTTAATTTAAATTATGAATTTACCATATTTGTCAACGTGCCTTAGCTTTTTTGTGCAGAGTCGGCAGACGAGACTCTCTTCGTGAAAGGCCTAGCTCCTTGCCCCCGAGCACTAGACATCGTGAAAGCCTTGGATAGCTCCTTGCCTCCTCCTTACTGTTTTCTGAAGTCTAAACAAGGTGTGCTCCTAACTTCCTATGTTTGATTGTTTGAACTTTTTTGTTTTGGACTTTGAAATTTTTCTTTACTTCTTCTTTCCTTGGGCTGTTTTGCCACATTTATCTTCCAGATGCTCCATTTTGACTGGAATTGATTTTCATAATTTTTTGGATGCCTGCATAAACTTGTCATATTCTGTCAGTGTGAGCCTCTTTTTGTGTGGGCAAATGCACTTAAAAATTACCGGGAAAAAATAATAATAATAAATTCTTAATTTTGAATCAATGAGATGCGAGCATGGGACAATTGTGACTCTTATTCTCTGAGAAACTATCAAAATCACTAATTTTCTTTACATGTCGGAATTGAGGAAGTGCATGTTCATGTGCAGAAGTCCCCAAAATATAGCATGTATAGTTCATAAAACTTACAAAACCATAAGGCTATATTTGAATTGACAAATGTATTTTAATTTGCACAATTAATCTAAGAAGAAGACATCAAATCTCACTTGTTCGAGTGTACACAGGGCATGGTCCAACAAGCCCTAAATTGGTTAATGTCCTAATAGCTTAATGCCATCTTAATTTTCCTTGATTTAATTTAGAACACTCCAACCAACCCCAAATTTGTCTAGCTAATAGGTCATATATAGTCAGCAGAATAAAAACCTATGGGAAAAATATTTGAAAGTCTACAAGTTACAGACTTACAGAAGGTGAAAGCCATCTATAGAGAGTGTCGATTACTGTCCTTTAAAAAATCTAAAATTTTCCTTAGATTTTTATTCTTTAACCATTAGAGAAACTACTACCCTGGCACATAATGTCACAAACACTTAGAATGCAAAGTAAAAAATTTGTGAAAAATTGCTTAAATTACCTGCGATTATACGTGTTTTAATGGTAGTCAGATTCCAAAAGGCTGTGACAGCTGATGTAGCCACAAACTTCTTGTGAGAGCAAGCCCCCCATGCTTCCAACACCCACCATTTGAAGCACCATTTGTAAAAATAATAATAATATATTATTAGTGAGAAAACAACAAAAGGCATTGTTGTTGCTTAGACAAATCAAGTGAGGGAAATCATTTTCACATTAGCATCCTTACACACTACTCTCAGTCCATGAAAATCTCTCTTAAAAGTGAGAGTGACATCTTTTTTGTCTGCAAATGAAAATCTCTCTCTTAAAAGTGAGAATGACATTTTTTTTGTATTGCATACAAGATTCCATGAACAATTTTTACCAGTGCATAAGCTTTTGTCAAGTACAATTCAATCTAAGCATATGAACTGGAAAAAACTGTTACTCATATATCCCATATCAATCTCTATCCCCATTTTCTTTTCCTTTTTTGGGTAAATTCCCCATATTCTTATTTTTATGTGTTTATATATATATATATATATATATATATATATATATATATATATACACACACACACACACACACACACACACACACACATATATATGAGTTCTTTATGTGTGTGTCTACACTTGAGCTTGGATTACTATTATTTTATAATAATAATAATAATAATAATATAGGCTGGGCTTGGATTGGTCTTTGGTTAAAAATTCAACTTTAAGCCCAACCTGCGTAATAATAAATGAGAGTGACATCATAATTGGGCAATTGACGCCATTGTTAGTCCAGGAAAATAATACAAGTATAGTGTTAGGACTTGGGACACATATTTTAGAACTTAAAGGCATGTTTGGTTCTAAAAAGAATATCTACAAAATATGTGAACATACCATACTTTTTAAAAAACTAAAAGATATTTGCACGAAAATTGACAATTTTAATTTTCGAAGAATACTTTAGAAATTTATCACTAAAATTTTGATATTGTCTTTTTAGTTATCGTTATTGGACAGAAGTGCTTCTGCTAACCAAATACATGTTTCAGTGTGTTTGATTTTATTGTTAGAAATAAGAATTTTGAAAAAATAAATAAATAAAATTTGAAAACATTTTTTACAGAATTTTGAGAATAAAAGAGAGAGCTAAATATTGTTGTTCACTGAGATTGATTATGTTTGTCAAAGGACTGTAAGATATACTGCTATATTAATTTGTCCCTATATATACTGTATTTATGGCACTGTTTTAGTTTATGCCGTTTAGTTAGTATATTGTTATTACATATTAATATTCTGATTTTATGCTATCATTAGTAAATACTTTATAACTATTAATATCCAATTTTCATAATAATAATAATAAATTTTGTTGAGGAATTTGTTTTAATGGAGTAGTCATGATTTTTTTTGTACATGTTACTTTTATTCTTTTCAAATACCTTGACTAAATTGTTATCATGTTTACCAATAATATATTTCTTGTCCATATATTTTATTTAGTTTACTTGATGTAATATCATGGATAGAAGTTGGATAACTCAGTCAAGGTACTTCAGATTGTAGTTTGATTAGGTTACTTAATCTAAGAACTACAATTTAAGAAATTTGATTTTTTATATGCATTACTATGCAAATAGGTTAAGTTCAGCATACTTGCGTGGAGTTGAAGAGTTTCTAGATATCTCATTTGAGCGAGTTGGGAAAGATGGGAGTATATATTGTCCTTGTACTGATTGTGGCAATTGTATAAAAAAAACACGTTCTGAGGTGAGAGATGACTTGGTGTGTAATAAGTTTATTCAGTCATACACAACTTGGTTTTATCATTGGGAAAAAGTGCCATCATCTTCTCAACAAACTGATGTACACACAACACACGATGATATCAATGCAAACAAAAATAATGATATGCATGGAGTCTTACACAAGGGTTTTGGTGTTCCAACTGAAAGGAGGGAAGAGACCAATGGAGAAAATGATCAGCACCAAAGGGTGTCAAATGAAGAGTTAGATAAATTTTATAGGCTATTGGAAGATGCAAACCAAGAGTTATATCTTGGGTGTAAAAAGTTTTCAAAGTTATCCTATGTAGTGAAACTATATTTAGTGAAGACTAAATATAATTGGAGTGACAAATCATTCACTGATCTGTTAAAAGTGATAAAAGATGGATTACCAGATGGCGAGACATTACCAAAAACCTTCAATGAAACAAAGAAGATGATTGGTGACCTGGGTCTTAAATATGATAAGATTCATGCATGTCCCTCTGATTGTATGTTGTATTGGAAGGAGCACTCTAATGATGAAATGTGTTATAATTGTGGCAAGTCAAGGTGGAAAGTTTTTTATTCAGAAACTGAGGGCAATGCAAGTACATCATCCTCATCAACAAATAAAAAAATTCCTACTAAAGTTATATGATATTTTCCTTTGAATCCAAGACTCCAAAGATTGTTCATGTCAAGTAAGACAACTTCTTCTATGAGATGGCATGCCGAAGAACGAATCAAGGATGGATTGATGAGACATCCCGCTGACTCCCCAGCATGGGATAGCTTTGATAAAAGATACCTGACATTTTCTAGTGATCCTCGGAATGTCAGGCTTGCATTAGCAACTGATGGGTTCAACCCATTCAACACCATGAGTGTTGCACACAGTACATGGCCTGTTTTGATACTCGTGTATAACTTACCCTCATGGATGTGCATGAAATAGCCTTATTTTATTCTATCAACCTTGATACCTGGCCCTAAGGGACCTGGAAATGATATTGATGTCTATTTGCAGCCTTTGATAGAGGAATTAAAAGAGTTGTGGGTTGATGGGGTGGAAACTTATGATGCTTCAAGAAATGAGATGTTCCGTATGCATGCAGCATTGTTTTGGACTCTTTCTGACTTTCCTGGTTATGCAATGGTATCCGGTTGGAGTACAAAAGGGTATTTGGCTTGTCCTACTTGCAACAAAGGCAGTTGCTTTCATTTCTTAGATCATAGCAAGAAATTATGTTATGATGGGCATCGTTGTTTTCTTGAAAAAGATCATAAATATAGGCGTTGTAAATCAACATTTGACGGCACTGAAAAGGTAAGGTGTGCACCGCCTATGTAATCTGGACCACAATTGTTACATGAATTAATGGACCTTAAATTTCCACCATTTGGAAAGAGTGTGCATACAATGAATGAAGATCGGAAGCGTGAAGATCGGACGCGTCCGCCACACAATTGGAGAAAGAAGAGTATATTCTTTCAATTACCATATTGGAAGTATAATCTTCTGCTTCACAATCTAGATGTGATGCATATTGAAAAAAATATATGTGACAATATACTTCACACATTGATGAATGATCAGAAAGGGAAGGATGGATTAAAAACAAGACTTGACCTACAGGATATGGGAGTAAGACTTTTACTTCACCCACAAGAACGTGGTTCAAACAAATTTTATTTGCCTCCTGCAAGTTTCACGCTATCTTCACTTGAAAAAAGCACATTATGTCGAGTGTTGAAAAATGTTAAAGTTCCAGATGGGTATGCATTTAACATTTCACGTTGTGTGAAATTGAAAGAGCGTACAATTAGTGGGTTGAAGAGTCATGATTGTCATATCTTGATGCAACAACTTCTAGCCATAGCCATTCGTAGGATATTGCCTAAGAATGTTTGCTCAGTACTTGTCGAGCTCAGTAACTTTTATCGAGAGCTGTGTTCAAAGACTTTTCGGCCTGAAGACTTGATAAATTAGAACACCGGATTGTTTTAATACTATGTCAGTTGGAAATGATATTCCCACCTGCCTTCTTTACCATAATGGTACATTTATCTGTTCACTTGGCTCACGAGGCAAGGATTGCAGGACCAGTGCAATACCGTTGGATGTATCTAATTGAGAGGTCAAGATTTTTAATGAATTTTCATTTATAGTTTGTTTATTTTTTAATAATTATGATATTATTAAATTTCATTCTTTATATTTAGGTACCTTATGACTTTGAAAAATTATGTGTGAAATAGAAGTTATCCTGAGGGTTCAATAGCATAAGGTTATTTAGCGGAAGAATGCTTGACTTTTTGTTCACGTTATCTGACAAATATTGAGACGAGATTCGATAGGCCCCAAAGGAATTCCGATAATGTGCTTGATGGAGAGGAAGTGAATGATTTTGGTGCATAAGGCCGTGCCTTGGGAAAACAAGAGTTCATTAATCTAGATGAGATGACTTTGGTACAAGCTCATCGTTATGTTTTATTCAATTATCATGGAGCAGAACCATTCAGTGAGTAAGATTAAGTTCCCTAATATATTACATGATTATATTCGTGTTAAACTTCATTTAGTTTAATAGGCAATATGTTTAACATTATATTTTCACAATGCAGAAAATATAAGAGATTTCTTAAGATGAGGCAGCATTATTTAAAACCAAGACAATTAGAGAAGATGTCTCATGATTTATTTCACAAATGGTTTAATGAACGTGTAAGTATTTAACTTTTGTGTTGTTGGTGTATTATAGGTTTATGAAAAATTACCTTATTATATAAGTTATATCTTTATAAATACAGTTGCGAGATAATGAGGATCCAATTCCTAATGAGCTGAGGTGGCTAGCACAAGGTCCAAACCATGTCGCGAAATGGTTTAAGAAGTTTGTGATCAATGGTTTGAAGTTTCATGTTAGAGATGTTGAGAAACGGAGAAAAACTCAGAACAGTGGAGTTGTCATAAAGGCAGTGACATCTAGTTATGCAAGAGCCACCGATCAAAATCCCGTCACAGGAGATATTTAGTACTATGGTGTGCTGACTGATATCATTGAGTTAAATTACAATGTAAATAGGAAGGTGGTATTGTTTAAGTGTGATTGGTTTGATGTCTTGTCCAAGGGTAGAGGAATAAAGGAGGATGATTTTCTATTTAAGCTTCTTAATTCGTCACGATCGTAGGGAACAGATGAGCCTTTCATTCTAGCATCTCAAGCTGAACAAGTATTCTATGTTGATGATCCCATTGACAATGAGTGGAAAGTGGTTATTAACGCAAAACCGCGAGACCTTTATGATATGCCAGAGCATGATATTGAATCTTATCAAGTTCAGGAGCCATTTCATGCACAACATGTGGATAACGACTTAGATGTACCTAATGATAACACGTTTTGGACAAGAGCTAATTTGCTTGGAACAACTATAGAAGAAGATGATGATGTTGATGATGACCTTGATGAAGATGAGATTTAGGATGATTCCATATCTACTACTCAATGGATGTGAAACGTCTTTTTTGGATGTCAAATGTCTTTTTTGGATATTATAAGCTCTGATTTACTATATATATATATATATATGCAACTTTGACAATAATATTGCAGTATCATATTTTGTAGCATGCACATGTACGCTTCCCGTGAAAACTTATTTAGTTTTTTTGTGTGCTTATATATTTTTAATATGTTTTGATCTATTCTTGGCACATTATTTTTTATTTCTTTTTATTGATTTTTCTTGGATTGTGCACTGCCTTTTTTAAACAATTTGATTGCATTCTCTTTAATGAATTCTCATTTTTTTGTTTTTTTTTCCAGGAAGGATAAATAATAAGTTGACAATGAAATGAACGGTTAGTGAAGTGGAAAAAGTGAGTGAACAAAATACTAAAGCTTCAACTTCAAAATCATCCCAACCACCGTCGAAGAAGAGACGGGGCCCGACACGATGCAAGAATGTCGTAAACGCGACAACCTTATTAGCATTAAGGTACATATATATATAGATCATCTGATATAGTTTACATAATTAGACTATATTCAATATGAAGGCGAAAAAAGGATTTTTATCTTTATTTTTGTACTAAACATCTACAATTATTAATTTTTGTTTAGGGTTAATAAGTTTGGACAGTCGATCGGCCCTGGAAGTGGTACATATACTAATTATTTGGGAACACTTGCCCGGAAAGCTAATTTATCTCCTTTGTGCTACAAAACTTGGTGGGAGATGCCTAAACGGCTGAAGGAGGATATGTCGAACGTTGTAAATGTAAAACCCTTCAATGATATTAAAATAATTTTTATGGAAAAATTGGATTAACATATAGCAATTATCACATTTTTAGGGAAAGTATGATGTGGGAATCATGTCAAAACATTGGACAATATCCTCCATCGGAAAAAAAATGGAGGGGGTACAAGTGTGAATTAAAAAGTGAATATTACTTGGTTAGGGATACAGATGCAGAAAGATTGGCAAACCCACCACCTGATGTTGAAAAGGAGCATTGGGAATTTTTGGTTAGGCATTGCGGTACGCCTATGGCAAAGGTAATCCTCCATCCACCAATTTTGTTTAAAGTCAATGAGTTGAATTTATAATTTACCTACTTTCAGTCATTATTTGAGGTGGAATGTTAGAACGTTTACTTTTTCTCTCTTTTTGTAGGAGGTCAGTAAAAAAACACAAAAAACATCATGGGAAGCAGACAATGATGCATACTACAGGGATAAAAAGCTTTGCACGTGTTTCTGCCGAGGTTAGTTGAAGTTTTGGCAATATAAATTATTTCAGTTCTTATGTCGTTGAATGATTATAAATGTTAGTGGTAAATAATAATATATATCACAATGTCTATGTTTCTTTTATAGATTGAGGAAGATGAAGGTATTCAACTTTCTCGTGCAGATTTATTCATTCGCAAACATGTAAATAAGGATGGCAAAACTACTGATGCTGCTGCTTCGGAGATGATTGTAAGTTTTCATGCTTCCATTTGTAAAAAGGGGGTTACGTGCCTTGAAGTGGCCAATTTTTAAACTCTTTGCGGTGTATTAGGGGGTCACATGCCTTGAAGTGACCAATTTTTAAGTCATCGGCCCGTGTGGAGGCATTTTAATTTCATTGTTTTTCATCGGCCCGTGTGGAGGCAATTTACTTTCTTGTATTTGTTGAAAAGCATGGGAGTATGGGATCATTGTATATGGAGGCTTCTTGTTGATTGATTTGTGTTGTGGAGAAGTATTTACTATTTGTTGTTTGTGTCAATGTGTCAATCATATTCTCCCCAATATGTATTTAATTTCCATTAACACTTGTACTCTATTTGTTCTCTCATCTTTTCTCTGTTTCTAAGTTTTATTGCTTCATCCTTGTTTTACACCTAGTAATTCTTGGGAAATTATGGACACAATGTGCCCAGAATTTTGATCTCACATAAAAATGATCACATCTCATATGTTACTTAGGTTACACTAACACACAGATTGTATAAGTTTTAGGTCTTATAGTCACAGATAAAGAGTAAAAAATAGAGAAAAAAAAAACCAATATACTTGATACTTAATGACAATATATAGTGTACAACTCATGGTATCATCTCTTTCTTGCCTCAAACTTGAAAGATAGTTCAGCTGATAATATCAACTTTTCATCAATGAAATGATATTAAAATTTTCCGCATATGTTGCACCTCTCTTTTCACAAAAATTGTTGGTTAGGGACCTAGGGTTAAACATACTCCATTTCTATATCCTGAGATTGACTGTATGGTGAAAAAAAAAACACGGGAACAAAATTTGTCAACTTACAAAACAAAAATTGTTCAATAAAAAAACTGTGAGCAGAAACTATTTTCCCAGTGATCATAAAAAATATCCCTCTAGACTAGCCAGTCCAATTGCACTTGAAAGATTGGTCTCTGCAGGAGGTTTAGGCTGTTGTAAGGCCAAAAATGCATTGATAGTGCAATCTCATCGACAAAAATACCAAGCTTCAAACTTTTACCATAAATGCCATCAACTTTGCTACTCTAAATATATGTAATAAAAAACGGCAAATAACCAACAAGAGATAAAGGAAGAGGCATGCTGGACCTCCCCACAGTATTAAAGAAATACTCACATCAGAGCATGGATATTGTATAGTTCATTTTGTGCATTCATGAGTTTACACCCCTACTGACTTTTGTATGTAAAAAGGAAGTATATTAGAAACTGTTTTGAGATGCATGCACATAGACTAGCCTGTACCAGCTACTATGAAACCTCTAATATTCCATTTCCCTTCTAATCCACTTCTTCTATCCCAATTTTAAGTGGGCCTTTAAATTGCAAAAATGGATTTTACTAGAGCACAAGACCATTCTAGTAAGCCAGACATATTTAAGTGCATGACAATGTATTCATGAAGAGTAAAAAAGCAATTAACTCAGGTCAAATGGTGGGACCCCACTTCCATTTCTCCTAAAAGGGGGAAGAAAGTTTTATTAAAGAAAAAACCCACACGCAATATGAATATGTCGATTGGTTAAATTTATCTCTACCTCCCTCCCTTCCTCCCTTCTCTCTCTCTCTCTATCACGTGCACACACACACTTATAGAACTTGTGCTTGCTTTCCAAAAATAATAGCTAAAAAGGTAATTTCAGCTATTTAAATTGGGTCAAATAATCCAACATGCCTGGTTGCCACCAAATTTTCTACAGGGAGGTAACTAACTGTAACTAAATCCAGCAATAGTGCGCCCGCTTTAAACAACCTGGAAAGTGCAAAATGAGGGTATGTGTGCATCTCTAGTTGGATTACTTGACACTTTAACATCAAATCATTCCCGGTCATATGAAAGTGCAAAAATTAAAATCTTCAGCCTTCATGTTAATAAATGCAATGAAGATATCTTTATGTTTTTTGGTTGATAAGAAACATTACTTTCAACCTATTCTATTCTCATATGATAGCTCATGACATTTTTAGCTAATCCTTGAACTTCTCTCAGATGCAAAAATGTTTCTCATATAGCAATCACAGAAAAAGGAAGGATCAAATGATTTTGTTGAACAATTTTTATAAACTTAAACTCTATAATTCATCTATAGGAATTCTATACATTAAAGCTCACCATCCTTTCTCATCTAAGGGAGCAATCCTGAAGCATGCTTTTCTACGATTTTAATATATCCATCAACGTCATGATCATGAACATTAAACAAGTCAATTGAGCCATACTGAAAAACTACCATGTAACAGCAATCACTTCCACTTAAACTGGAACCCGAACCCTGAGACAAAAATAATAATATCAATAATAATAACAAAGATTTAAGAAAAACATTTAGTTGGATGAATCATGTCCATTAAATTTAGAATTTTCTGGATTGCATGTATCATGTACAAAATTGGAATTTGGATTTGATAAAAGTCGTATAAAAGCACAGTATCAAAAATGCATTGATAGTGAGGATTCAAACTTTTTTTTTTGGCAAGAAAACATAAAACTACTTCAAAAAAGTTACTCTGACTCGCCTATTGGCAGTTCCAATGATTTGTTCTCCATTGTGAGGGGAGAAGAGAGAACTGGTCGTGTGCGGATGCTTGGCTTCGGGCCTACACCAAGCGATGTTTGGGGGCCCTCTCCTAGTAAAGCTGAACTGATTAATAATGCGAAAAAATCTGATGAGGAGGCACGTGCTGCACGCGTAGAGTTGCAAGAGACCATATCAAAAATGCAAGCCGACTATGACAACAAGTTGGAAAATTTACGAGCCAACTATGATGACAAGTTGGAAAATTTACAACAACAGGTGGCTATGCTAATGCAGATGCAACAACAAAATTGTAGTGGACAGGTATATTTATTATTAGTTTTATTCTTTACTAAATATATGTTTACTTATGCTAAGATTTCATGTATTTTGTTTTCTTATTTTGAAGGGTTCTGATTCGTTAAATGCTCATCCTAGAGTATCCCCAAATTCATTATCTAGTCGTGATGCCAATTCAGTTAAGGTTATGAACTTTTAATATGCCAATTCAGTTAAGGTTATGAACTTTTAATTTCTCTTATATATATGTTAAATTTTCATTTATTATAATGTGTGCGTAATGAATTTATAAAAAATGTAGGGTAATTCAAATCAAATAGGCAAGAAGACTTGTTGAAGTTGAAGTTGAAGATGGGGTCGTGGCTGTGCTTTCTAAATTTCCTTCGCCTTGGATGGGTTCTTTTTGAAAAACTTGTACTACATTTGTCAAAAATTGTTAATTCTTTTTGTCTGACATTTAGTAGCTTTATTTAGACAATTTGGATGATATATTGGCAGGTTAACTTATGGTTGTTTTAGTATACATTTTTGCTTTTTGGTTGACATTTACCAGGGTTAACTTGTGGTTGTATTAGTAGCCAATTTTGATGGTAATTTTCATATTGGCAGGGTTAACTTGTGGTTGTATTAGTAGCCAATTTTGATGGTAATTTTCATATTGGCAGGGTTAACTTGTGGTTGTATTAGTAGCCAATTTTAATGGTAATTTTCATATTGGCAGGGTTAACTTGTGGTTGTATTATGTAAAAACAATTTGGATTGATATGTTTACAGTTCTATTGATATGTTTTTTTCCAAAAACTATAAGGAAAAAAAAAAAAAAAAAAAAAAAAAAACCTTTACCAGCGCTCTTTTAAGAAGCGCTGGCATAGGGAGGGGAGGAAAAACAAATTAAAATTACCCTTTACCAGCGCTTTTTTATACACTCTACCAGAGCTTTTCCAAAAAGCGCTGGTAAATACTCTATCCCAGCACTTTTCCAGAAAGCGCTGGTAAATACTATATCCCAGTGCTTTCTGGAAAAGCGCTGGTAAAAGGACTTTTACCAGCGCTTCTGCAAAAGTGCTGGTAAAGGCCTACCGACAATGGATTTACCAGCGCTTTTGAAAAAGCACTGGTAAAGTGAATTACCAGTGCTTTTTAAGACTTTTACCAAGGCTTTTGAGCACTGGTAAAAGCCAAAACTATTGTAGTGAAAGAAAAGTAAATTGCCTCCACGCGGGCTCACGATCTATTTAAGAATTTAAGAACTTACCACCGTGCGAGCTGACGATTTAACTAAAGATTGAGTTAAGAAGAGCTTACAAAGGGTCCTTATGTAACTTCAATTCATTTTTCAATTTTCGCTTAGCTTTGCAAATTTTTAGATTTTAGCCTTCTATACTTAGCTTAGCTCATTAATTTTCAATTCTCCCTTGCTTCACTTCCTTTGCTCAATTCACCTAGCCAACCAAGAACGAACACAATAAGTAGCTAAAAAGAAAATAAGGTAAAAACATGATCAAAAGAGTACTAATTCCTAATTGTTCCCAAAAATACGGCGTTGCAAAATCAATCCTCGGCAATAGCTCCAAAACTTGATATGGTGTCGTGCCAATGCACTAAATTGTAATGAAGTGTGGCCAAGTTTAAATTTATAAAATGCCACTAATACCTCTAAATACTAATATAGTTAGGTTGAGTAGGGATCATCCCATGGGATTGGGGGCAATGTTAATATGGAAACAAGGTCGGACTAGTAGGTCGAGTGATCAAAAAGTGGCTTGATTGGGTAATTAAACTATAATGTAAATAAATTCAATACAAAGTAACTAAAGTAAATAAAGAGTAGAGAACAACAGAGATGGATCTTGGGATTTAAAGGTCACCACTAAACATCACCATTCTAGATACTCAATGTGTAATGAATGAAGGGAAATATGTGTTGCAATACAAAGAGATGTGATTGATTGAATCAACAAGCATGGATGACTAATTAAGTATATACATTGTCTAGACAACCTAGTGAATAGCATAATATATCAAACTAAGCCATTATTCCTTCCTTTAAGCTCACAATCAACACACTAATAAGTTAGAGAATTATATTACTTTCATTCATAAGCATGGAACATCAAACAACAAGCATGGATTGTCCTCACATCTAATAAAGTAAAGCAACTACACTACATCTAAGCTAAGGACATAAAAATTAAACTAATTAAACTAAGGTATAGGCACAATCCATCAAGAAATGAGTATGAACCATCAAACAAATCACAAGAGTATTCTATTTAAGCACTATACCTTGACAATCTCTAGATTCATAGCATCAACACACATAGACATGCATCAATATCACAAAACCCAGAGATAAACACATGAACATCTATTATAGTATACATAGACATATGAATAGAATGAAATGATCAATTAGAAGTATTAAACAACATAAATTATTGTAAAAACAAGATTCATATATAAATCAAATGTCAAGACAAGATTACAACACAAATCCCCTCAAAATATAAAACATCAAGATCTAGAAGGCATGCTTAGGGCTAACTCTAGCCCCAAGAAGATGTTTAGCCACTCATTGTTGTAGTCATCCAACCCTTAAGGTCCATCTCCATGGTAGGAATAATCTTCTTCTTGATGGAAACCCTAGATGAATGGAAGAACTCCCAAATGGTGTGTATCTCTCTAATCTCTAGCCTCCTCTCCAAGATTGTAAAAAATATCTATCCATTCATTCTCTTGTGTAAAATGGCTCAAAATTCTTATATAGGTAGCTCAGGTGTCACACCCAATGGTCAGGTCTTGTGCATTGGGGCCTTCTCAATAATTGCACCACGAGCCATCTTTTAATGAGCTGGACTCTGTTTTATTTCGGACTTGAGGAGGTTCGATCGATCGAATTCTGATGAGATCGATCAAACTCTGGCCAGATTAATCGAAGTGTGACCAGATCGATCAATCCTTGGTGACGCTTTTTTGGAATACGATAGATTTAAGATATTTTTGGGATATTTTGGGGAGAAAGACAAAAGTAGCAGGTAGGGATAAGATCAAAGAAGTTCGATCGATCTGAAAGAAAGTTAGATCAATTGAAGATGGAAATCCATGAGGATAAGGACCAGGGGTTTGATCCATCTTGGTAACGTTAGATCGATCGCTGTGAGATCGATCTGGGATATGTCTGATCGATCAAAACTTGTTATTTTCCACCACTTTTGCTCCTTTTTGCTCCTTCCTTCCATTCAGCTTGAGATTGCTTCTTTTATGCTTTAATTTGGCTAAATTAACTTATTTTGAGGATAAACGCCTGAAAAGGGCAATAACATGAAATTAGTCTAAAACGGGAAAATAAGATAGATAAAGGTCCTAGAATACTCGAGCTCAAGGGGTTTAAATATGCACTTTTCAGCACTCATCAATGCTCTTCAGTTAGATACTGTGGTTTCTCCTGAACAAATACATGCTGTTGTACTGAGTTTTCATCTAGACAAGTCTTCTGGTCTAGATGGATTTCCTGCTAGATTTTATCAAACCTTTTGACCAGTGGTAGGTGCTGATGTGGTTGCAGCAGTTCAACATTTTTTCTTGTCTAGTAATATGCCTATGGGGATGAGCAGTTCTTTTCTTACTTTGTTGCCTAAGGTGGGTAATGCTTTTAAAAATGATTGAATTCAGACCTATTGTCTTGTGCAATTTGGTGTATAAAATCATTACTAAGGTTTTAGCTAATAGATTAGCTTTAGTTCTTCCTAATTTGATTGGTATAGAGCTGTGCGATTTTGTAAAAGGAAGGAAAATACAAGATACAATTATCATATCTCATGAACTGGTGAGGGATTTCTTTATGCCTAGGCATGCTTCAATGGCATTGAAAGTGGACATTAAGAAGGCTTATGATTTAGTGTCATGGGAGTTTTCGCTTAAAACGTTAGAGAGTTATGGTTTTAGTGATCTTTGTATTAAGTGGATCTCTAATATTCTTCATTCAACCAGGTATTTTATCATTTTAAATGGCATACCTACTGGTTTTTTTCAGCCTACAAGGCGGCTAAGACAAGGTTACCCGTTGTCTCATCTTCTTTTCACTCTGGTTATAGACTAGCTCTCTCAAAAAATTAATGAAACAATTCAAAGGAAGGAGCTCACAGCTTTACATTCTACAAGAAAACTACAGTCTCCGTTGTGCCATATTTTCTTTGTAGATGATCTCATGGTTGATTGTCAAGCTTCTATCCCAAATGCTAAAGTTTTAGCTCTTATCTTCAAGAATTTTGAGTAAATCTCTAGCCTTCAAATGAATCCTCAGAAAAGTAAGGCTTTGTTCTCTAGAGCTGTAAGAAGGAAGTAGAGCATATTAAGGCTGTTGAAGTGTTCAGAAGAGGTATTTCCTATCCAATATTTAGGTCTACCTCTATGTTCTTCAGGTTTAAAAAGGAATAATTGTAAAGAACTTGTTGATAAGGTTATTAAAAATATTTCTCATTAGAATACTAAGCTGTTGTCTCTTGCTGGTAAGTTGGAGTTGATTAAAATAGTGGTGAATCCTATCTTTCTTTACTGGTGTAGTAGTTTTACTGTCCCGGTGGCTGTGACAAATCAAATCCAAAAACTATATATGTAGAGATTTTTTGTGGGGGAATACTGCTCATGCTAATAAAATACATCTGCTGAAGTGGGATATTGTTACAAGTACAAAATCTGAAGAAGGTTTTGGGCTTAGGAAGCTGTCTGATCTTCAAAGAGTGTTTAGAATTGTGTTGGCTTGGGTTTTTTACTGAGTAAGGATAGGTTGTGGGTGTCTTGGTTTCGTCAAAAATATTGTGTTAACTCAGCTTTCTGGAATGTGGTACCAAGAAGTTTTAATTTTGTCATTTGGAAGGCTATTGTGGAGGCTAGAGATACTATGTTGACATTTATTTCTTACCAAGTTGGAAGTGGACAGAAAATTAAATTATTTCTTGACCCTTGGTGTAAGGGGTTAACAATTGCACAAAAATTCGGTCATAGGTTGGCTAGAAGGTTATGTTTACACAAGGATGATTTAATCTAGAGTATTATGCTGAATGGAGGTTAGAATTTTGCTCTGTTGCAAGACGATTTTTTTCTTCCTTTTAGGGCTTATCTTGACACTGTCAAAATTCAGTCTAAACCAAATAAACTGATATAAGATGGTGGTTTATTTTCTTTTAAGAGAGCATGGGAATGTTGTAGAGTTCCAAATATTAAAGTACAGTGGTATAAACTGGTTTGGGGTAAGGCTAGGCCTCAGTGGTCTCTAATTGCAGTACTGGTGTTGTAGAATAAACTCCCTACTATATTGAATTTATAAAGAAGTAAGCTATCTTTGGCTTTAAGATGCTCATTATGTAATTAAGCTTTGGATACTATGGATCATATATTTATCAATTGTGACTTTTCTCAGAATTATCGGAAATGGATTGGTGAAGTCCTATACTGAAATATGGAATTGTTTGCAGCTGTTAACACAGTTTGGGAGCTTTTTCTCTGGTGTAATTCTTAGTACCAGAATTCAAGGGTTCTAAAAAGCTTATTTGTAGCACCTTTATGGACTATTTGGAAGGGATAAAAATGCTAGATTACACTTGAATGTTTGCACTCTTTCTGATTCAGTGGCTAGACACATCTTTTTTGATGTTCACAGTATAGAATGCTAGCTTACAAGATATTACTATATAAATTGGGGTTTGCTATGATGTTTTGGAAATGGTATTT